AGCACATGAGGGCAAAGCCAGGTGGTGTGTGCTGGAGGCACATGAGGGCAAAGCCAGGTGGTGTGCGCTGGAGGCACATGAGGGCCAAGCCAGGTGGTGTGCGCTGGAGGCACATGAGGGCCAAGCCATGTGGTGTTTGCTGGAGATATACAAGGGCCAATCCAGGTGGTGTGTGCTGTAGCTACACAAGGGACAGCCAGGGAGGCTGGAAGATTTGGAAAGGCTGAGAGAGCCAGGCACACAAGGTGTGTTGAAATCATACGAGAACTGTGTGGATGGCTCCTGGAAGCTGCCTTAAAGGTGCAAAGTGCTTCTGAGAAGTTTTGTTGAGGAGAATGTTAAACGTCCTGGGACTGGGACACTGAGAGTGAATGGGACAACCTGAGAATGGCAAGATAATATATTGCTGAAAGACAAGTGGACTTTATGTTGTGCTGCTGAAAAAAAAAAGGATCTTTTTCTGTTACAGAAGAAATAAAAGAATGTCCTTTTTATGTTACAATGGCTTTGGGACTGGTCAATAAGTGCTCACTATTGTGCTAACTTCCCCAAATATCACACAACTCTTTAGCCACTGGATGAAGTCCATGTTACTCTCTGAGGTTCTTGACATAGGAAGGGCGGTTGTTGGATATTTTACATTTTATTAAAGGAGAACTATGAGGGGGGGGGGGGAGGGAGTGCTTTTCACTCACCTCATAGTTCTAGCCGACCTGTGACAAAGAGACTGTCACAGGTCGCCTCAGTAGATCGGGAGGTGAGCTAACACATAACAGGGTTCGCTCGCCTCTCCATCCTGTCACGGCTCTCTGCCGTGACAGGGGGAGGGGCTGGATTCCCCTCTCCGATCTGCCCGCGCTGACTGGCGGAACGGATGGGGGAGGGGGCGGGTCCAGCTGGCTCTGCCTCTAGATAGGCAGAGCCAGCTGTCACTCACGCAGCTGGGCGGATCCCGTCATCTACGTCGGGATCCGCTCCGGCTGCGGCTGCGGCGAGCTGTAGCTCCCTATATACTGAGCTTAGGGTGACGGGAGGACGCTAGTTTGTGTCCTCCCGTTACCCTAAGGAGAACTATGGGGAAAAACACTGACCCCATAGTTCTCCTTTAATACCGGTAGGTGTTTCTTGCTGGCCCTTCTATACTCAGTCCTTGAACCCAGGGCCGGCCTTAGGCCTTTAGGCGCCCTGTGCGAGAAAGCTTTACAGCGCCCCTCAGTGACCACACCCCTCAGTGGCCACACCCTTTAGTGGCCACACCCCCAGTAACCACACCCATTT